GGGATTAAAGTCATGCACTAACACACCCGGCAGATAGAATACTTTTTATAAGTAGCCCTTCTGTCTCCCTTTTAGTTTGCTTGTTTTGAAATGGGGTCTTACTATGTTGCTCAGGCTTGCTCTGTATCCTGGGTTCAAGTGATCCTTCTACCTCAGTTTTCTGGGTGTACCAGGCCTGACTGCCTAGTATCTCTTGTTGGTTGTCTACTATAACTATTCTTTTTTTAATATTTATTTATTTACTTATTTATTATGTATACAATATTCTGTCTGTGTGTATGCCTGCAGGCCAGAAGAGGGCACCAGACCCCGTTACAGATGGTTGTGAGCCACCATGTGGTTGCTGGGAATTGAACTCAGGACCTTTGGAAGAGCAGTCAGTGCTCTTAACCTTTGAGCCATCTCTCCAGCCCCCTACTCTAACTATTCTTATAGGAAAGGCAGGATAAAGATTTAGTTCTTTTTCTTTCTTTGATTTCACCTAATTTATATATAAAAAAAACAACAGTGTGTTCATTATCATTTCCCAGCAGTGATAGTTTTTTTTCTTCTTCTTATGTTTTGCCTCTGTGCAGGAAAATATTGGAAGCACAAAAAAAATGCTATGATTCCTTTTAAGGTATCACTGGCTAGTGAAAGTTCAGTGCAGTGTGAAAGTGCCTGTACATGTAGGGAGCTTGTAGCAGAACCACTGAGCCAAGACAGGTCAGAAAAGCATTATGGGTTTGATCTGTACCTGTTTGATTGTTGAGGGAGGAGGTAGAGGTTACTTTGCAGGCAGAGGGAGGAGCTTGTGTAAAAGCTGCACCAAGTGAGTGAATTTGTATTAGAAGAAATAGAATTTGCCAACAGTTTAGCAAGCCTGGTAACAGTCAAGAGATGAGACTGTAGAGGTCTTTGGTTTCTAATGGCACCATAAATACTGGATCATTGCTGGGACTCCTCTCAGATATCCTGCTGTTTCCCAAAGTCAGGGTGATCCTGAGGCCAGGCATGACATCTGGGGGCAGGTTTCTTTAGAGCTGTATGCTGCAGCACACAGATGCCTTTGATGTTGGTCTCCCCAAGGCTCTCCAGGCTCTCTGGGTTTACCTTTATGCTTGTAGCTTGCAGGCACTACCTACCTTCCTACCTGCTTCTTCATCCGCCAGCAGGACAAGCAGTGCAGGCTGCAGCCACTGCAGCTCCAAGCGGGAGGTGGGGGATCTGGTTTGTCAAGCCTAAACTGGCCCCATTCAGTGGTGACATCTGGGTCTACATGCTCCAGCAACTCAGAGATGGAGTAGATGTGGGGGACCAACTCAAAGTGCTGAATCTGGGCCCAGATGGCAGCAGAGTTTGTCTACAAGGGATTTCAGCAGCCAGCTCTGGGCTCAACTTTTTTGTTTATTCATGATAAAGTCTCATCTTCCTATCTTGGGCCAAAGGTTGCATGCATTCTAATGACTTTTTTTTTATTATTTATTTATTTTATATGCGTTGCCTGCATGTGTTTCTGTGTGAAGGGTGTAACTAGAGTTACAGACAGTTGTAAACTGCCACGTGGATATTCGGGACTGAGTCTGGGTCCTCTGGAAGAGCAGACAGTGCTCTTAAACATTAAGCTATCTCTCCAGCTCCTCTTATGACTTTTAATAAAGACAAATATCATTAAAGAATAATCATAACAGTGTCTGTCCTTAATTTCTATAATATATTTCTAGTGTGCTGGCACAAACCTTCAATGCTAGAGACATGAAGCCTGGGTATATTAGTTTACTTTTGCTGTGAAGAGACACCATGACCAAGACAACTCTTATAAAAGAAAGCATCTATTTGGGAACTTGCTTACAGTTTCAGAGGTTTAGTCTATTACTATCACGGCAGGGAGCATGGAGGCATGCATGACACTGGAGAAGTAGCTGCGAGCTACATCCTGATCTGCAGGCAGAGAGACTGAGACGGATTGGGCCTGGCATGGGCTTTTGAAACCTCAAAACCTACTCCCTGGCGACACACCTCTTCCAATAAGGCCATACCTTCTAGTCCTTTCAAAGAGTTTCACCAGAGTGGTGACTAATCATTCAAATTATGAACCAATGGGGGGGGAGTCATTCATTTTTCTTTTCTGTTCTGTTTTCTTTTATCTTTCCTTTCCTTTCCTTTCCTTTCCTTTCCTTTCGTGAGCCCCATCTGGTCTCAAACTTGTGCTCCTCCTTCCTGTGCCTCCTTCAGCAAATCCTATGGGTGCTACAATTGTCATTCTTATTTAAACCACCACATTTGCCATTACAGATTCCATTTCAGAGGAAAAATTACCTCTTATTTTGAAAATTGTAGAAGCTATATAATTTTAAAAACATATTTTCATGTGTTCCATCTAAAATGGGTGTTTGTATGTTTTGTAAGTCATTTTGGAGGGAAAGGATCTTCCAGAGATGAATGGGGTGAAAGACGGAGCACTAGACATCATTTGTTTAAAAGGCTGTGAATGTTAAACTTCGGAGTTGAGTATTTCTTTGCTGTGCTGTAGATAATTTTAGGGATTTTTTTTACTCATTTAGAGTATTTATTGGCATATAGGTACCATTGTACATGTGTGGAGGTCAGGTGGTTCTTTCCTTCTACCATGTGGGCAACTGAACTTAGGTCATTTTGTTTGGCAGTGATGACCCTTAGCCTCTGAGCCATTTGCCTGACTTTTTGTGGATTTTTTTTGGCCATCGAAAATGCAGAATTGGTAAGATAGCTAGGAAGAGAGGCAGATATAGGTACTCCAAGCAAGAAAAGCCAAGTAGTGAAATGTTTCAGGTGATTGTACTAGGAATAGAATGGAAACATTTCTGTGTGAGATAATTGCATGCAAAGAACTGGCAAAATGTATTTTACTACTATAACGAGTTCAGTAGGACCAATCAAATGTCATTTAAAGTTTTTAGCTCCAAATGCCAGGAGATCATTTCTTTAACCAATTCTTAAGATTCATGGAGCTGGCGGTGATGCCTTTAGTCCCAGCACTTGGGAGGCAGAGGCAGGCGCATCTCTGTGGGTTTGAGGCCAGACTGGTCTACAGACCTAGTTCCAGGACAGCTAGAGAAACCCTGTCTTGAAAAACCACCAAAATCAATCAATCAATCAATCATGGAATGCCTAGTCCCACTTGGCATTTTTTAAAAAAGCAATAGGATTTTATATTTCTTGATATTAAGAAAGTATATATATATATGTCTGTGCGTATATACCATGGGTAGCCAGCCACAGAGACCAGAAGAGTGCTGCATCAGGTTGTATGGAGCTAGAGTTAACAGGCAGTTTTGAGATGCCTGATATGGGTGCTGGGAACTGAACTCAGGTCCTAGAAGAGCATGAAACACTCTTATCTGCTGAGCCATCTCGCCAGTCCACATCTCTAAATATTTTATGGTCTCTATCATAAAAATAGAGGGGGAAAGTAGAACTCTTACATTTATTAGTATTTTCTGTAGATAAAGGAATAGAACCCTGTTCTCTAAACTGGTAACATTTTGAACCAGCTGATTTCTTGGCAGGGGTCATTTCCTACATTATAGGGTGTTTTGTAGTATCACCCAGACCCTACTGGCTAGGAGTTGAAGCAATAAATGATATTTCAGATATTTCCTGGGGGGACAGCCACTTCCACTATTGAGAACCACCATTGAATAAGGGCCACTAAATATGCCTCAAGAGAGTGCTCTGCATATAAACAAATATATGTATGTATGCATATATATATATGTATAATATATTACATAAATGAACTGTCAGCTTTTAGTTGCGAATTATAAACAATAAAACTGTGTTGTCTGTTGCAGCTAATGAACAAGATGTTCATTGAGCAGCTCTTTCAGATTTCACTTTAATTATTTTTCTATTGGTTATTGAATCCAGTCAGGGCCTTGTACATGTTAGATAAGTTCTCTACTACTAAATTGTATGGCCTGTTCTAATCTTCTGTCCTAGATCATTATACTGATAATTGAGATTGGGTAACATTCCTAACCTTGGCTGACTTGTAGCTTGTATAGTTAGACCAGGCCTGACCTCAAACTCTTAGAGATCCAGCTGAGGGCTTAAACTGGGGTTAAAGGTATGAACTAACAGTCCTGGCCACTTACATAAACTGTTCGTTGTTTTTTTGTTTTGTTTTTCCTTTTAAATTTACTTAACCTTTTATTATAGTTGACTTAGTTCTGTGTTTCTATGTGTGCACGTACGTACACATGTATGAGTCATGAAAGCACTTAATGGAGGTCAGAACAATTTGCAGGAGTTTGTTTACTCCTTTCACCATCTAGGTCCAGGTCCCAACTCAGGGTTGTAGGCAAGCACCTTTACTCACCGAATCATCTTCTGGCCCAATTACTTGAGCTTTTAGTAAAATTTAAATTTCACTAAGTGTAGAATATAACTTTTTTTTTTTTTTTTTTGCCTGAACTTTGTAAAGATCTTGTTAGGAATTTAAAAGCCACTAATGGATACAGAAGAGGTCTTGGAAAGGTAGTTCAAATCCTGAATCAGTACTTCCAAACTTAAGATATTTATTAACTTGGTTCTGTCCTCACATTTAGGCTTTAAGGAAAAGATATTTTATATTTATTACGTGATGCACTATTATGCTGGAGAAAGCTTAAATTTTATTTGTTATAATTTCCAAGTGTGCTTTACATGTGTTTAAATATGAGTCTTAATAGGCAGAAGCAGGTGGATCTTTGTGAGTTCGCGCCCAGCCTGATCTACAAGAGCTAGTTCAGGACAGGCACCAAAGCCACACAGAGAAGCCCTGTCTCAAAAATCGATGAAAACAAAGCAAATAAACAAACAAAAAAGCTAACATTTATTGAGTGTGGTGGTGCCTACTATACATTTTAGTAATTAGGAAGATGAGACAGGACAATTAGGTGTCAAAAGACAACTAAACAAAAATTTTAGTATTTAATTTTATGTGTTGTTGTTGTTGTTATTATTATTATTATTATTATTATTTTCTTTTTTTGATGTAGGCCTCGAAGTAGAGGAAAATCTACAGTGGAAGATGAGGACAGCATGGATGGACTGGAGACAACAGAAGCAGAAAATATTGTGGAAACAGGTACTGGATCTTAATGAGTTTTGACAAAAGTACACAATAATTTGTACTTGTTTATATACTGCCCATACCATTTGTATAGAAGTGTTGTGTGTTAACATTTGTCTGTACACAAAACTCTTAAGTCTTCCATCTGTTTTGATGTCTATTGGTAGAGTGAAAAAACAGGTCTCTTTCTTAGTTTTCCCCTCGAATTCTTATTTAGTTAGAATCATTTTGTGTATATGAATGCCTTTTATGAAAGCAAAACTCCAACTTTGAAAGAAACTCCTTTTATTCCTTTAGTGTGACAGGTCATAGTAGATTTCTGACTTGTGAACCATCAAGTATTCACTCAAAGCTTATTTTGTTAGTATGAATATGGAGGAAAAATGTTTCATTAGCAAGTGGTAGTATAAAGTTCTGGGTTAAACCACTTGAGTGGACAAGTAAGATACCAAAAATAATTTCCAGAATCTTAAGTTAGTAATTTAATAAGTTATGGGATTCATGGTATGAGTAGAAGATGTCTGCATGGGATATTCTCTCTGGTAGTGTTTTCTCCACTTGGATAACATCTGGGCACTGTTATCATGATGGATATTACCTTGATGTTTATAGAATCTCACAAAGTTTCTTAGAAAAAAATTAAAGTGCTTCATTTTTTCCTAAAAATATTTCTTTATGTGTATGAACTTTTTTCTATCTACCTACCTCAATACCTATCTACCTTTCCTTCCTTCCTTCCTTCCTTCCTTCCTCCTTTCCTTTCCTTTTTTTTCTTTTTTTCTTTCTTTTCTTTCCTCCGTGTGCATACAGGGTACCCAAGTAAGTCAGAAGCTGGATTTCCTGGAACTGGAATGAAAGGCAGTTGTGAGCTGCCTGTGTTTGCTTGGAATCAAACCTAGACCTTCTGTTAGAGCAACCAGTTTATAACCACAAAGCCATATTTTAAAGCCCCACTCTGTCTTTCTGTCTCTCTGTCTGTCTCTCTGTCTTGTCTTTCTGTCTGTCTGTCTGTCTGTCTGTCTGTGTGTCTGTCTAACTCTCTACCTTGTGTGTGTATTTGTGGATGTGTATGGTTAGAGGACAGCTTGTGAAAGTTGTCCTTCCACTATATGGATTGTGGGAGTCAGATTTGGCATCCAGACTTAACTCATTGAGCCATCTCTCACGAGCTCGCTTTACCTTTTAGGATACTTCCTAGAAAATTATTTATTTATTTTCTTTGAGACAGGGTTTCTCTGTGTAGTCTTGGCTTTCCTGGAACTAGCTCTGTAGACCAGGCTGGCCTCGAACTCAGAGATCTGCCTGCCTTTGCCTCCTGATGTTGAGATTAAAGCTGTGTCACCACCACTCAGCTCTTACTATTATTTCTTTTGATGTAAGTGTAGAGTTCTTGGAAAGCCTTTGTATACTGTGTAGTCCCCTTTTCTTTCTGTTGTTTTTTGTTTTTGTTTTTTTTTTTTTAAAGACAGGGTTTTTCTGTAGCTTCGGAACCTATCCTGGAACCAGCTCTTATAGACTGACTAGGCTGGTCTCGAACTCAGAGATCTGCCTGCCTCTGCCTCCCGAGTGTTGGAATTAAAAGTGTGCACCTTTGTTGTGTTTCTTTAGAGTGATAAAGTGAAGATTGGGGATTCAGAATCTTCTCTTCCTCCCTTCCTTTCTTTTTATTTTCAAGATATGATTTCTCTGTGTACTTTTGGCTATCCTGGATTTTGTTTTGTAGACCAGGCTGGCCGCGAACTCAGAGACCCACCTGCCTCTGCCTCTGGAGTGCTGGGATTAAAGGCACGTGCCACTATGTCCAGCTCGTTAAAAAAATTTTAAATGACATTTTCAACATGATTATTTTATAAACAGTGTCATCCATTAATCTTCTAAATGTACCCATCAATATTCTTTTTGGGTATTATCTTACTGAATGAAGATTTAGGCATCATTTCTATGTTACTTTGGTTTTTTTTTCTTGTAAGTTTTGATGCTCTGTTTAATACCTTGACTTTTTGACTTCCTGATTTCTTTTTCTAAAGTTTTATTTTTAGTTACACATTCTTAGAGTTCACACATTACCCTTGTCATTGTGCCAGTTATTGGGACAATTGTGACTCATTTTCAACGTCTCAAGTCAGACTTTAGGTGCTTTCTCTCTCTTTTTTTTTAAACCACACGTTTTTTTGGTATTAAAATATATATCACAGTATTTCATGTATTCAAACCTATAGCCCAGTGATCTTATTAATGGGCTTGTTATCTTTCTAGCTCCAAGTCTTTGTAGTCTTTTTTTGTCTTTTCTTTTCTTTTTGACATTATGTAACCCTGGTTAGCCTGGAATTCACTTTCTATACTGCTCTGGCCTCCAACCCTTTTTAAAGAGATCCACCTGCCTCTGCCTCCTGAGGCTTAGGATCAAAGGCATGCACCACCACTCATGGCTATTGTCATTTTCTTGATGCACTTTAAACTCTTCCACCAAACCCATGTTTTGCATTTTTTAACTGATCATGGATGTAGGAAACACATAATTTGCTGATTGGCTTTAAAGTTGTGACCTCAGATCTCAAGTGAGTCAAGATTGCTCCTTTTACTCAAGATTGCCCCTTTTACTACACCTAGAAATTTCTTTCCCAGTAATTGAGGATGATTATTCACTCACCACCACCTCTTTGCAAGCTTCTAGTGCTTTGTTTTAGTTTTTATTCTTTATTATTTTAATGGGGGTGTGGGGGGGAGGAATTTCACACCCTTCATCAAGTGTGTTTTCCTGCTTGTTTCTTTGTCCACATACTTTGTTTCTAATTCTGTGTCTTAAGTACTTTCTCAGAATGCTGCAGAACTCATTGCTCTTTGGAAAGAATATTTTTGAGGGCCACCTTTAATCTTTACTGCCCCTAAATAGAAATTCAGCAACTTTCTGGGTTCTTCGAGGCTTTTTCAGCTAAGGAAAATAGTATTACGGGGAGAGGAACCCATAGGTAAGCATGCGTATCACAGTTGTTTCAGTTGAGGCATAATTATGTTGGTCTTTGTCTTGTTTAGTGAGACATTAACTATCAGAAGAGATAGTATATACATACTTATAAATGTGAGTTGATACCCATTGAAGCTTACCTCTAAATAGTTATTAACAAGCTAGCTTGCTTATTTACTTTTTTGAGACAGGTGTGTCTCGCTAGTTGTTCTGAAACTCTGTGTAGCCTCAGACTCAGGGACCCACCTGCCCCTTTCTCTTGAATGCTGGGATTAAAGTTATGTGTTACCATGCCTGGAAGAAATTGGTCTTTCCACACATCTTCATCTACTCATATACATATTATCCCTCCCTCCTTCCTATGTGTTTTTCCCAAGCTCTGGTAACCATGATTCTCTTGTTTGTTTGTTGTTTGTTTTTTGAGACTTTTAGCTTCTGTGAGACTCTTAGCTTCTGTATTAACATGAGATGTAATGTTTGTCTTTCTGTTTTTGACTTTAGAGTATATAAGTTCATATAGTATTATCCATTTCCACATTTCTGTAGATGGAATAATCCCCCCCCCCCCCCCCCCAGACATGGTGTAGCTCTGTAGTATAGATTAGCTTAAAATCACTATAAAGCCAAGGGTGGCCTCAAACTTGTGATCCTGTTGGTTTCCCATTTTGAGATCTGGGTACAGCCATGCATAGTATCATGCCTGGCTAATTTAATTTTATTGAAAAAAGGTTTTATTTTATGTGTACAGGTGTTTTGCCTGTGTGCATGTTTGGGTACCAGTGCAGTACCCGTGGAGTCCAGAGAGGGTATTGGATTTCCTGGAACTGGAGTTAGAGATGGTTGTGACATGTTGTATTGGTGTTAGGAACTGAACCTAAGTCTTCTACAAGAGCAGCCTGTTCTTTTAACCACTGAAACTTCTCTAGCTCCTTATTTTTATTCTTAATTGTATAATATTCCTTTAATATGTACACATTTTTCATCTGTTAATTTATTGACTCTGGCTGATTTGTGTTTGGCTGTTGTGGATATTATTAACATACCAATACAGGTACCTTTTCTATGTACTGATTTCATTTGGATATATACCCAATAGTGGGATTGCTGGGCTATATGGTTGGTCTATTTATAATTAGATTGGTTCATGTATTTATTGTTTGGGACGCAGGATTTTGCTAGGCAACTCTTAAAGGGGTCAGGTGATTTTTGGTGTCTCCTCCCAAGTGTTGGAACTATAGGCATATGGCACCCCCCCCCCCCCCCCCCCCCCTTATTTTGGTTTTTTGATACAGGGTTTCTCTGTGTAGTTTTGGTTGATCTGGAACTCAAAGAGATCAGAGATCTGCCTGACTTTGCCTCCTCAATGCTGGGATTAAAGGCTTGTATCACCACCACCTGACCATTGGCTTCCCCTCCCCTCTGTTCACCTCCCCTCCCCCTTCCCAGAACATTCCATAACTGAACTAGTTTTTAGAAAGATTTATTTATTTTTACTTTATATGTGTGAGTGTTTTGCCTGCATGTATGTAAGTGCACCTTGTACATGCCTGGTGCCCCCGGAGGTCAAAGGTGTTGGATTCCCTGGAATTGGAGTAAAAGTTGGTTGTGAGCCTCCCTGTGGGTACTGGGTATTAATTCCTAGTCCCCTGAAGAGCACCAGTGTTCTTAATGGCTGAGCCATTTTTCCATTTCATAACTGAGCTAATTTTCATTCTCACCATTAGTGTATGAGATGAGGCCAGTTCTTTATCTTACCAGTAATCATTTTTTGTTTTTATTATTATTTTTTTAAATAATTACTTGAAGGAGGATGAGATGACATCTTGTGGTTTTGGTTTTCATTTCTGTGATATTTTCTTAGATGCTCTTTGTATCTGATACCTCACCCTCTTCTTTCTCTGCTTTTGAGTTGAGTTCCTTACATACACTGGAAGTTTATCACTTGTTAGTGATTAATTTGTATGTTACTTCCCATTCTTCAGGTTGTTTGTCCTGTTGATCATTTCCTTTGCTGGACAGATGTTTGAAGTGTTAGTCTAATTATTCTTTA